GATCTCGGACCGATTGTTTTGGCGCGGATCCGGGCGCGATTGCCGTGTTCACATATGCCCAAACGAACCGAGCTAGGGGGTTAAACGCGCCAGGTTCCGAAACAACAGGCCATGTGTGAAAGCACCCTTAGTCACAGAAAAAATGTTCGTTAACGAATATTTTTCGTCGTCGTCTTCATTGACGAAATTAACACTGCTCAGAATGATAAAAAAAAGTGTGTCAATATTCAAAGTTTTATAACATACACTACTGTTCAAAAGTTTGGGGTCTGTATTGGAGGCTGCATATATTTGATCAAAAATACAGTAAAACAGTAATTTTGTGAAGGTTTTTTTTTTTTTTTTTTTTATTTAAAATAACTGTTTTCTATTTGAATATGTTGTAATTTATTTCTGTGAAAACAAAGCTGAATTTTCAGCATCATTACTCCAGTCTTCAGTGTCACATGATCCTTCAGAAATCATTCTAATATTCTGATTTGCTGCTCAAGAGACATTCATGATTACTATCAATGTTGAAAACAGCTGTGCTGCTTATTATTTGTATGGAAACTGATACATTTTTTTCAGGATTCTTTAATGATTAGATTGATCAAAAAAAACTGCATTTATTTGAAATAGAAATCTTAATAAATGTCGACTTATTTAAGACATAATAAATGTCTTTACTGTCACTTTACATCAAATTAATGTGTTCTCATTGAATAAAATTATTAATTAAAAAAAAAACTTTATGACCCCAAACTTTTGACTGGCAGTGTAGTATAAAATTACCATAACAACATAAACATTTATTAACTGAAATATGTATGAATATACAAAAGATTTGTTGCTAAAACCAAAATACATCTTGTGAAAACTCGCGTCACCATGTGTCAAAAGGTGTATCATTACCTTCATGAATACAGATAATTAATCTTATATAAGTGGTTCAGTATTGAATTATTTAAATAAATTCTTTCCAGATTTTTCCACTGCAAAAGACGTTGTTAGTTCATTATTAATGTGTCATTTAGCATCTACTGCATGTGTTCATTAAAATGTACCTTTTTTTCCTCATCTTCATTACCGCTGATGAAATGAAAACACTCTATGTCAAGGAACATCTCTGTCAGTAATTCTGTTGACTTATAACAAGAGTGATGTTTCCCCGCAGCCACTGCCAGAAACTGAGTACAATGGAAACCCAGAGAGCGTGGGCTACAGGGTCAGAGTGTTGCGAGCGGACCTGCGGGGTGAGGCCAGCACACGATTGGTGAATGACAGGCTGGAGAGGGAGATCACCCTGGAGGGTCTGGAGGAGTGGACCGAATACCAGCTACAGATCCAGGCCTTTAATTCCATAGGCCCCGGGCCCTGGAGTGAGCCCGTGAAGGGACGCACGCGTGAGTCAGGTGAGGACACCCAGTCAGATACTAATATGGGTTGATGAGCCCCATGGGATGTAGTGATGCAGAGGGAGCATCTTGAAATTTCCATTCTCAGGATAATCATATTCTCAAATCTAAACAGGTGGTTCGCAGATTGAAATTTTATTTCTTTTATGTGATCACCATAACAGCCCCTCACTGCACACTTACTCTGTCGGACTGGAGAGCTGCTCTGAATGCTTGCCTACACTGCAGATAAGAAGCCAGGTGATTGGCTGCCTGATGTCGCTACTTATCTTTACCATTGCTCCCTGCAAGATACACTCAAGAAAGATTTATGGCCCCAAATGGCTACAGCGTAAACTTCAAAAAGATGCTATTTAAAGGTGAAGTGTGTCATTTCTGTGTCACTGGTGATATCAGACTGAATTGTAAATATGTTTACATTTTTTGTAAACAATGAGAATGATGTTTACGCATGCAAAAGACAGCACCACAATGCTAGGGTTTTGTGGTTTGCTTGCAGGGCAGTGCTATGCAGTAGTTCTGGGTGGTTGCTAGCCCAGGTCTACAGATCCCAAAGAAATGAATCATTTTATTCAATAAGGAGGCATTCAATTGATCAAAAGTGACAGTAAAGACATTTATAATGTTGCAAAAGATTACTATTTCAAATAAATGCTGTTCTTTTGAACTTTCTATTCAGATCCTGAATCCTGAAAATAAATGTATCACAGTTTCCATAAAAATATTAAACAACACAACTGATTTCAACATTGATGATAAGAAATGGAGCAAATCAGCATATTAGAATGATTTTTGAAGCATCATGTGACACTGAAGACTGGAGTAATGATGCTGAAAATTTAACTTTGCATCACAGGAATAAAAATTGGAATACTATTTCATAATATTATTGTTTTACTGCATTTTTTGATCAAATAAATTTAGCCTTGGTGAGCATAAGAGACTGTTAAAAATGTATAAAAAATCTCAACAACCCCCCACTTTTGAACATTAGTGAAACTTCTAAATCTAACTGTTTTTTTCTTCCACAATTTAATTATATTTCCACTTGGTAAAAAATTGAAAGTCTGATCAATTAAAGTAATAGTCAACCTCCTCTAAACAAGCCACAATATTTGAGGAGCTTAAATCCATAACCCTTAGTATGACAAATAAAAACAAGTTTTAAACACTCTTTCCATCTTCCAGGGTTTGGATGATCAGGTTATCTCACCACAAACTTATCCAGTTGATCAAGTGATGAATAAATAAATGAGTTAATGTTGTTATGCCTAACCTAGTTGTCCCATTCAAACAGATTGCAATTCCATTTGGTGCCACTAGTGGATCAGAAATTGCACACTTCAACATTAATAGTTCTTTGGAAGGCTGCACTTGAATGATGAAGTTTGTCTGTGGAGAGAGTCATTATATAATTGTGTGGCTAATAGCCCACACGTAGAGACGTTCTGGGCTGGCTGTGCTGTCTGATATGAGGCCTGGTGTTAAAGGTTTGCCATCTTTTAGTGGTCTGTTCACTGTCTCCTCGCGCTCAAACTCTTGTTTGCTGCTCACACGCTAATGCTGTTTGCTTTCTTTTTCCCTTATGACATTGGAGAGGTGACTAATCTACGTGAGTTTACTCAGTACTCGGGGCCATGTGTTAAGGCACAGTGCGATAAGGGAGTGTGATTTGTCTTTCTCTGTTTGCGTAGTGTCATCGGGGGCTCCGGAAAATGTGACGGCGGAGGCCATGAGCTCCAGTCGCATCCTGGTAACCTGGGGCTCGGTTCCTGAGCATGAACAGAACGGCAACATCCTCGGATACAAGGTGGTTACTCGTGAGAATAGCTTCTGCGTTGATGTTTTGTCTTTTTTTATTCGTTGTGATTTCACACAAATGAAAATGACCTCAGACTGATGTCAAGTAGTGCACTGAGGTACTCTGAAACAATGTCTGCTGAAGGAGCCCTTGGCTCAGTATAATAAGCGTCTCAGAAGTGAATAAAGGTTTTTCTCATGTAAGATCAATCCCTTAAACTGTGTTTTGTATGATGAAATGACATGAAAGATTTGATGGTTGTTTCTCTTGAGGAGGGGAGGCATTGTTTTTATTCTTCATTGAAACCAAACATTTCCTATAATAACTACCCTTTGTAGCTGTACTGTACTATTCTTAAAATGAATCAATCTAATATATATATATATATATATATATATTAGTGCTGTCAA